TAAAGAGAGACTATGCAGGCAAGTTCAGATGTAAATCCAAATCCTAGCTTTAGAATTCAAGTGGTTAAATTCACCCGCTGTACTGAGGCATTCACTGCAACACACAATAACCGTAATATACCTCAATAGCATTTTTGTAATCCCATAAAAATCTGAATTTTGTCTTTGTTATTTTAATACAGACAGCTCAAATGTCTATAAAGCAACTGCATTTACAGCCAACTTAGAATGCGTACCAGCGGCCTGACGCAGTGGAAACATTTATAAGATTTCTGGCAGATAAAAGAGCAAATCCCATTCCTTTTCATTTGGGATGGCATTCTCAGCCCTACACAGAAGCCTTATCTACTTTGTACAAAGAGGGGGCAGAAGGCAGAGGAAATTCCAGACCTGAGGCATGTGCCACCTTTTGTGATTAAAATTCCTTGACAGTTGACTAATACAGCAAAATCACAGCCAGAAGCCACTTACCCAAAGTTCTGCTCACTATTCACCTTGCAGACAAGCTTTGTTAAGCCTAAAATTGATGACATCATAAGCTGAAAAACCCTGATATCGAAGATCACAGCAAAATATGAATTGGCCAGAGTATTTTCCATAGGAATTCTTTTTTCCTGCCAAACTGATAACACTGAATGTGTTTAGAGTCTCTGAATAGCAAAATTTGCATTTTACAGTTCAGTCACGCTGCATGTTTGGGTGTGTATTAGGCAGAGGACTGTAACAAGTACTTCGAGCTCCTCCAGAGCCACTGCTTGAGGAAGAAGAGTGAAGAAGAACTCAGGGCTTGAGGATTGCTGTTCATGACCAACCGGCTGGTGACCCAGTCACAGTGCTGGTATTATTCTTGTAAAGTCCTCAAGTCAAGTGACCTACTTGACCTGTTTCTCCTTCAACTCCTGCTGAGTAGCAACTACACTGTCATAGCTATAATGCTTCTTGGCCATCTGCCTAGCAGGACATCCACTGGAGCCAAAATTTCCACTTGTGTCAGAGAGTAAAGCTTGTTTAAGCATAAATTATAAACTTATTATAAAATTAGATCTTAAAAAAGTACTGCAAATGGGAGAGAAGCAAATGGAAGTAGGTGAAAATATGTAAAACCTTCGGTTGTTAGATTTATTTAAAAGCATTTTTATGATTAAATGTGAAACTTGCAGGTTTTTGAAGAAGCTTTTACTTCTATTTACATTAATGGTAAAACTAATTCTCTTTCAGAACTGAAGTTCTGAGACATGCATTTTTGGTAATTCTGTGTGTCTTAGGAACATGAGCTTCAATTAAATTGTATATAATGCTATGATTTTTACAATTTTCCTGCTTCAAGGCATACAGCTAAGCAAATCACACAATAGAAATCTCCACAAAAACATGAAGACCATCTTGCATATATACTAAATACATAGCCAATAACTATACCCCCATCTTGCTTAATGCTAGAGCAAGAGAGACACCCACTTGTTTCAGAGACACACTTTTGGCCATTGTTTCTCTTTGCTGGAGGACATCAGCTGCTGGGTAATACATGTATGTATGTACATACGTATGTGTGTATGGTAAAATATAACGTATTGTACTCTGGGTTGCTTTCCTGGCAGTTGGCATTGATGGAGGTAGTTATCTAATAATTAATAATCTCCTGAATAAGATGTTTCCACATGTATTCAGCAATGTCTCCGGATGCCTTCCATATGCACTACACGACTGCAAAATGAAAACGCTGGGCCGAGACACCCTAACTTTAGGAAAATGCAAACAACAGCAGGATTACATTTTCTTAACTATCTAATTTTCCAAGGAGAAAATAAAACAACTTGACAAACAGTTTCAAGGATGGATCTGCTTTTAAGCTGCAATAGTAAAAGACTAAGTGAAGGGTTCAAACTTCTCTGTCAATGCAGAACTCCAAATTTGGTTTAAGAATATGACTGAAATTACAATAAAAATACAGCATCTGTATTTCATGTCGGAAACACTTATAAAGGACAACAGTGTTTCACATAACCATGCTGGTGCCATGAGCAGGAAGAAGTTTAAAATGGAATTGATATTCCTTTTCCTCTTCTGTATTTTCTGCAGTCAGCATCTTATGACCTATAGCCGAACTACCTGGGTTGACAGCTGCTTGTCCAAGGGCACAGCCTGGGCCCATTGGCCTAGCTCAGAGGCGGCGCTGTGCACTTGTCCCGAGACCGGGAGCACTGCCGGGCACGCACTGCGCACTCCGGCATCTGCTGCACCAGGGAGGGCCGGAGCTGACCCCGAGGTGAGAACGCTGCCAGGCCCAGGGCAGCTCTCTGCCCAGGCACCACGTTAGTCATCCGCCGTGTTTCATCAACATGTCCCCGACAGCTGGGTATCTCAGTTACCGCGGTGCTGCACGCTCCACTTTTTAATACCCTAGATAACCCTCCGTAGTGCTGAACATTCACAGGTCAATCACAGTGCTTGAAGCCAGAAAAATGATGAGTATAGAAGAGGATATGTCCTCCTCTTAGCCGTGCTGCCAACCCCCAGGCCCCAGCAGTGTCCTGCAGAGCACTGCTTACAGCCCCTTCTGCCGAGTGCCGTGTTTCCTGTGGTGCAGCAGTTCCACCGTACAGACACCTGAAGGGTGACACTGCCCCTTTCCTCACACAGATACCCATCTTCTGAGGTTACCATTAAGATCTCTCATGTTCTTGCTTTGGGATAGAGTCTGGCATGGAAACACCACAGCCTACTGCTGAGATACTGAGTGGGGAAAAAACCCCAAAACAAACCCCTCACAAAAAAACCAAACCCCAGACAAACCCGAAACCAAGAAAGCCCCCCTCTTTGTCCTCTGCTGAATTTAACAAGTCTGCACAGTGGCAGCTGTAACTTCTGTGGCCATGATTTGTGGCAACATAGCCCTTTTTGCCAATACATAACCAGAATAACCTTATTTTGCATAGCAGAACACACATTTATTAAACTCTATGGTCAAGACTTGTCATTTCCATTCCTTAAATCACACGGAAAAAGTACTACTCATATGAGAGAAAAAACAAAAAAGTTTTTCCCAAAGAGCTGTGTGAACAGTCAGATCCAGGCCAGCTCAGCACTGAAACAAGATCAAATCTACCTCTCTAGATGAAGCATAGTGAAAAAGCTCACCCTTTAGGGAAAAAAAAAATGTGTTTTCAACAAGGGAATAAGAGGGAAGAGGAGGGAGAAGGAGGAGAATGAGCAAAAAGGAGGAAAAATGTGAAAAAATCTGAATGGAAAACATGCTTTCTAGAAAAGTCTTTTTTTGTCTTCCCATAAAACTAGGTCTCCTAGACACTCTAATAAATGGATTTTGAGCATAATTTACTACATTACCAACTATAAATTGGCCTTACACATTAGAGTCTCTCACATCAATCCCTTCTACAAAGACATTAGTACAGACAAATGGCTCAGGAGGTAATCCATTCACAGTGGGAAACAAATTATCCCATAACAACATCCACCGAGCAAAGCTGGTACAACGTAAACATCTACTGTGTAATACAACTACCAAAAAAAAAAAAAAAAAAAAAAAATCTCT